GCTTGCTCATCTCTCGGCTCACCCTCGAGAGGGTGGAGTCAGACGGATGCACTTCCGGGGGAAATCGTTGGCGGTACCTCCGCCAGAAGCTGACCTTGGTGTCCCTCAGCTCGGTCTCTCCAAGCATGGAATCGAGGTCATCAGAGGCCACCTTGGAGCGATCTTGCTCCATAGAGGGTGATGGCGTGCCATGCCCGCCGCAAGCGGGACACCTGAAGCATCTTGCCATCCCCAAGCGACAGCTTTGAGAGCCATGGCTCAACCGCGCCCTCACTGTCAAAGAAAAATCGAAATTCTTCAAAATTAGAGATACCGGTCTTGATCAAGGCTTCCACAACAACAGGGTCAAGGCTGAAGTTCGTGCCTAGCGCCTTCAGAGAATCTTCAATCCTCGAAGACTCCCTCGGCACTAAGCTCAAAGAACTAGCCATGCTGTCTCGGGGATCCCTTCCCACGCGCCTAAGCCAAAGCTGCCCGCTCGGAGGAGTCCCTCTCCTCCTGCACAATGACTACGGCCGTGACGAGTCCGGAGACGGGGGGGGGGAAGGAAGACATAGGGACAGACCGAACGACGTCCTCATGGACATGCTTCTGCGGCTCGGTCAATTCTCCCTGCACCTCGATCCTAACCGCCTAGGCGAAACTCCCCCCTCGCCGAATGCCCCTGTCAGGCGACTGCGCTCTGTTTTCACGCTGTCTTGGTCAAGCTCGCCACGGGCAACGGATCACTCCATCGCCAAAAGGGGGCTAGCTGCTCTTATGTGTCGCTGTGCGACAAGATGAAAACAGGTGCCACAGCCTCCTCAAGGGATCCAGGAGGCTGGTGCTCTATTGGCACAAACTTGGCATGTTGGCCTGCCCCAGGCAATCGCCTCCATCTTCGAGGTACACTTCGACGGGTTTGCCAAACGCCCTTTGCTCTTCTGGCCGCTCTGGCGATGTGAGCAGAGGGGAGTGTCCTCATAGCCCTGGATGTGCAGCTGACTGCGGGCGGTCGCGATGTATCCGGTTGGCCGGGGCCAGGCATTGCCCAGACTAGATGTGCGAAGGGTCTCATGGATCCAACCAGCCAAGGCCCTGTCTCTCAGCAAGCCTTGGATGTCGACATCCCTCACACTTGCCAAGTAGTCCCAAGCTGCTTCAAAGCGCTCCCGGAGCAGAATGGCTCGGATCATACACGCGGTACCCGCCGCGCGATGCCGGCCACTAATGCAGTGGAGGAGCACATCCTCACCTCCCCACAACGTATTGCACAGGAGCGGAAACAGGTCGCGCCATTGCTCGTCTCGCCTATCAGGGTGGGCGATAGCGAACTTGCGCAGGGTCGCTCCCTGCAAGCAAATGCCACCCCGCTGCGAAGGCTCCTCAAGCATGCATGCCACTTGAAGAGTGACGGATGGAAAGGCTGATGCTGACCTGTTCGTAGGCAATCCACCCAACCACAACGTGCCGCCACTTTGGACGGACAGCACTTTGGTCGGCGCCTGCGCGCTCTTCCCCCGCACGGTGGCCAAGCGGTCCCACCGCTGGTCGTGCACATTGGGTGTGAACGCGGCCGGGGGCTCGGGCATCTCGAAGATGTCGCTGGGAGCCTCCGTTGCTTCGGCTGCTGCTGCTCGCCATGGTGGAATGACCTCCGAGGCTTTGCATGGGCGCCGCAGCTGTCGCTGCCACCGAGGGCGGCATTGCCTTGGGTGCCACGGGCTGCGCTGGAGAGGGTACTGCCTCAGTGTCCGGGGGTGGCACGGTGCGCAGCTTCTTGGTCTTGGGAGCCGGGACTGGACTCGGGGACGCACTCGGGGAGCGAGGGCCTGCTGAGGACTCATCTTCACTGGAGGTGCTCTCTGGCGATGATGCTCGATATGGAGCCTCAGGGGCGTCGGCCACGGGGAGAGCGACTGGCTCTACGGTGCTGGGCACTGCGACGTTCGCCAGCGGGGTGTGCTCGACATCCTCGGCCACCACATAGCGCTTTGCCAAGCAAGCCTGAGCTGGATGCTTCCCTCCGCAGGCACGGCCAGTCTTCAGCACGATGGCACAAAGGTGGGCTTCACCACAGGTCCCCTCGCCCACGTGGCAGGCGTCCAACTGAAAGTTGGGGCCTAGCGCCTTGCCGTTCCTCAGGAAACGGGTGACCACCTTGCCATTGATGGAGGGGGGCATCACAGCTTCGGAGCGCTTGGAACTAGCTTGCGCCGCTCTTGTGAGCGCTGCACGCTCTCGCGAAAAAGCGAACGCGCGCTGCGCTGCTGCCACCGACATCGGCTTGTCCCACAAGCTGTGCTTGTCGAGGCTCACCGCCCGCTGCACCTCGGGCTTGGCCGCGTCCACTGCGGCAGTGATGGCGGCTGGAGTTGCCAGTTCCCAGGCATCAAATTCGCCCAACCTGGCGACAAGTCCCAGCGACAGATGTTTGAGCCTCATGCTAACGAGATCACGGCTGCCTGCGTAGTGTGTCGGCATGGCGGCCTCCTGAGGTAGCTCACTCTTGGATTGCCAATCCCCCAAGGCCACCATCTCAACCGGGGTGTACTTGGCCAGCAACGCCACGGTGGGCATGAGCCGGCGCCACGAGTAGGTGGAGAGGTCAGCCACGTCGGTCACAAGGTCCTGGAACAGCTCACGACCTGCGGCTTGCACCTCAGAGATGTCCCACGCGCGGCCTTCCCGATTGAAGCAGAGGCCGCCTTCATCTCGTTGGGCCTCGGGCAACTGGTTCCGAAGGGCCACCACATGCTCTGCCCAGGGCCAGCCATCTGTGAACTGCGAAGGGATGGAGAAGTCGAAGCCATCACGTTTGCTCGCCTGTTTCCCTTTGGGGCAATGGCAGTACATCGTTGAGCGGGACAATCGCACCATCTGAGCACGTTGGACATGCCGGTAGCGTAGTACGCCTACGCCAACGATCCAACTTCCCAGCATCGCAGTCCAGCGAGGGTCCTGTCGGGTGAAGGCTTCCTTGATGCCACGCTCCAAGTGGGTGAGCATGGGCGGCTCGACAACGAGAGCCTGGGATCGCGCAGCGGCCCGCCGGGAGGCAGGTGGATCCAGCACGATCGCATCCAACTGCCACCCCAAATGCCCCAGTTTATTCAACCAGCGAAGCGAGTTCAATGCCCGCTTAGGTCCTTTGGAGCCGGAGGCCAGGAATGACGCCAAATCCAAATGCTCTATCGTAGTCCTATCTCGAGAACGCATAAAGCTGACCAATTCCGACCACGTGCGCACAGCGTTCACCACTGTCTGAGGTTCCGATTTGGTCACTTTGACCTGCGCCAAGCGAGTGAGTTGCAGTTTCCACTCAGCTAGGATCGCATCTGAGAGGTTCCCCACGGAAGGGCGATGAATCCCGGCGTCCTCAAACACCTTGGCCAGCGCTTCCACTCGCCTGTTCACACTGTCAGCACTGAAAGCTTGTTGAGAAAGGGTCACTCCCTTCCGAACAGGCACTGGAGGAGCGGGTAGGTGAAGAGCATGTGCCGGCCTGTCGCGACTCGAGCCGGCGTCCACTGTAGAGGCCGCCAACGGCATCAGCTCCTCAGTCTGCTCGGAGCGGGCCTTGGTCCAAGCATCGGCCAATCCCCGGCCCCCGGCCAATTCCGCTGACCGAAAGGCAAAGGCGAAGTCCGCGTCGTCCAAGAGGTGGTATTGCTCCCTGAACTCGCGAACACGGGCGGCTTGGGCCACTTCAGACGAGGTCTCCGGGTCCCACCTGGAGCTCCCCGCTGACTCGACCGCATAGCACCCCCTGTCAGCCATGAGCCCTGCAAGGACTATCGCACTAGTCTGAGCCAGAACTGTCGATGCACAACGGGCACTGCCGTGACCAGAAGTTGCAGCTCTCACAAACGATCGATCGACAGACTCGACAGGACTCGAACGTGGGCAGGCGACAAAGGAGGCAGAGGGGGGGGATGTACTCAACGTCATAGGCCACGGCCCCCAGGATCGCACGGATGGATCGGCCTGCATTCGCGACTTCCCGGGGAATACCTGGGGTCCCAACCAGGGACGACCATGGTTCCCGCCATGGCCGCCTCCCCTGCTGCCAAAGCCGAACCAGCTCGAAGAACTCCTCGGTGTCGATGCCATCGTCCCCGTCGTCCAGCCGCTCCACGGCCAAACCAACGTGGACCGGCAAGATGTCCAACGGGCCCAGGTCAAAGGCAATCCACTGCAGCGCCAAGCGGTCCAAGCGCGCCGCAGAGGCATGGTAACGCTGCCACGCGACCGCTGGCCCAAGTCCCTCTTGAACCAGCAAGCAGCGGCAGAGAGAACAAACGCTATTTTGGCCAAGTCACTTGAGCCAAAACATTCGTTGGTTCAAACCTATGGCAGTAATGAATACATGTTCACCCAAGCCTGCCAGACCTGAAACATGTTTATATATATATATGTTTGCTTTTATTTTGGATAATATTTGGACTCTTTTGGCTAATGTTTGCTTTATGTTGTTTCGACATCAGTCCAAATATCTACTGGTCCAAAACATGTCATCGAATCCTCCACCGTTTGTCGCCGTACACCGATTTTCGGTGGGTCGGCTAGGAAAAATGGCCATGGCGCATGCGCAGCAACGATGGTATTAACCGGTCAGACAATGGACAATATGGCACAGTGTCCAAGCCATCAATTCCTTGCCAGCTGCAAGCTCCAGAAAACATGAAATGCCGACCAACATAGCATTGCGGCGTGTGTGCCTCATCGTATCACGCTTCGTAGCTGCTTGTTTGTTCAGCCGGCATTGGTGGAGTGGAACACGGCCACATTTACGCACTGATCTGAGCAGATCCGAGGACATCATTATCAACGGTCAGGCAGGCTTGTGATGCGATAACGAAACAATAAGGGAATCAAAAATTATCTACAAGCAAACGGGTACAACTGCCAGTGGTCACCAGTGGCGGGAATATATTAATATACGATATATACTTCAAGTGGCAAATAACTGCCTTTTATCTGGTCCCTTACCAGCGTCTATATCTCTTGATGTCTTTTGATGACGTCATCCAGTGGCATCACAAACCCTATGCAATTTCAAAGGGTGAGTGGCTGTCCTTGCTCGCTTCAACGAGCAAGCGTGATAAATGCAAATATGGTGGCACAAGCGCACACCTACTAGCTGTTGACGAGTGCCATGAATTTCCACGCATTGAACTCATCGATGGCCCCCAGGAAAGCAACATGGTTGGTATCCCCTTGACAGAATCTTTTGCCAGCGACGATGCATTCCAAACACCACCTCCCCAATGCGGATCTGTGCTGCGACATGGCACATCGCACCAGAGTCACTAAAGCGGCTTTTGCAGAACTGCAGTTGCAAGGTGTGTGGGTGAGAGTCGATCTCACAAGGGCGAAACCAACATCAGCTGAACGTCATCGTGATTCAACGCCTGTGGCTCACAAAACTGAAGACTCCAAATCTGGCAGCATGCAATGTCTATGGAGAAAACATGATGAACAATACAGTTTAGAGACAACCTGAGCACTTCTTGAATTTGCCTCTTGTCTTTTTTGAGACCCACCCACCAGGCCCTACGCCGGGCGGCCTCGCTCAGAAGCTTTTGGATTCCAGGGGTCCATGGTCCGATTCATCATGTGTGGACAGACTATCAGGTGTCCCATCCTGGGCCGGCACACAAATCAGCCCGGTCTGACCGTCCAAGCACTGGTACAGTACGTGGAACCAATGACCAGTCTAAACTAGAGCTAAACTAACTGAGTGGCATCCACCCGTGGTTTTGAAGCCTCACTTTTCGACCCCGAGCCAAATATATACATATATAATCATATATATAGTTTTACCAGTTTTGCCTGAAAGTTGTGCAGCCTGATGCGTACTGTAATGTCTGATTTAATGTCTTGAGTACCCTTGGACAAGGGGCTTACCCCAAAACGTTTAGATGGAGAACGGGACACTCCATTTTGTTGCATAAACAATCGTTGACGAAAGCACGTGCTGCTCTACCTGCGTCCGGTGCCGGCCAAATCAATTGCAATATTTGCATTGGACAATTTGTGTAACAACAGCAATATATGATATATACAATATAAACATACGGATACTGCATCGTACGATAGTTGAAGGCCATAGAGTTGCCAGAAAGGCGTATTTTTTTAATCAATGTATCTCTTCTATTTTGTTATTATATACTTTCATTTCTTTTGTATCTTCTCTTCTCCTCTCAGCTCAGCTCCACGCTTCCCCTGCTTTTCTGGAGCTAGTCTGGTCTTACAGTCGGTGACAATCTCACAAGGAGAAACAAGGATGTGGTTCCTTGCGAAACGATCCACACGACACAAACCAAAGCAGGTGAAAGGAAAAACATTGTGCAACGTAGTATTGGCAAATATCTTGACCAACAGCCTCAACTTGATAAGTCTGGCTAATTCTCCCTTTCCCTGCGATCACCCTGCAGTCACGCGGCCGAGAGCGCACTCAAGGCTGTGTTGCTTAATATTTGTGGGACCGTCATCATGGTCTGCGCGAGGATCCTCGCTTTATCCGCCAACGGTGCCATCCTTGGCGCCGAGACAAACGGACCCGCAGGTGTTTCGTGCCCGGAGACGTTCTGCTTTGACAGTTGGACTATTCGATCAAGCTGGACTGGTCTCCTTTCACATGGAAAGAGCCTCATTTGGTGATTGATAGGCTTCGCATGGATGAGGTTGTCATTTCCCTCTTTGCTCTTTGGGTTTCGCGATTATGCACGGTTCGAAGAGTAGCATGAGCATAGAAAACCAATGCATAATTACGTGTGGTAATTATTTGGCCTGGATCTTGCAATACAAATGCAGTGCTTGTATGTGCTTCTACCACCCACGCCTTTTGTTGAGAAAGCTGGGCTAAATGAATAATCCAAACAAAATTATCCCTGAAAACTGTCATGAAACCAAAAGCTAGTCTGAATGGGGAAACTTGGCTTCTGGAAAAGCATTCATCCAAAAATGCACACACTTCGACATTGGTTTTCAGTTAACTCAATTGCCACGATGAGAAGGAAGGTGAGGGAACCGCAAGGTGAAAGGGTCGGCGCAACTGAAATTGTTTAACAAACTGTTTACTCATCTGCAGAACGCGCCCCTGCCTCTTTTTTCTGCGTTGAGAAACTAATAGGTTAGTAGTGATACCAGGAGCCCGTAGTAGCGTGTAAACCACCATGGAAGCAAGCCAAGGAAGATTAGGGCCACAGCGTGGTCAACAGTTTGGAACATGTACACAGTGGTGCGTCCCCCACTGCATCAGCACCTACTGGCATCCTCTTCGTTGGACGGGAAATGCCAGTGGTGTCCCGTCCCCCTGCTGGATCACGTGGTGGAAAAGACCCTTCGAGACAGGGCTTGACACACACACACACACACGGTGCCGCTTGGCGGCGCTCGTGCGTGAAACCTGAATAGATACCTAAAAAGCCTTAGAAACGAAGGAAAGAAAGACAGAAAAAGCAGGCCAAGAGGGCCAGAGAGAAAGATAGGTGTAGAAAAAGAAAAGTGAATACTTAGCCCTTGACTGGGGTAGGGAAACGAGCCTCAAGAGCCACCTAAAAAGCCTGAGAGAAAGCCCAACAAACGACGGAAAGCGCAAGAAAGAAAAGGGGGGGCAGGGAGGAGGTGTATGTCCATGTGTGTGTTTGAATACCTGGCCCTCTAGGATTACTGACTACTTAGCCGAGACTAATTACAGTGCAATAGTTAGGGAGCGGGACTTTAGTCTTAAACCGCCGGGGTAGAGTAGACTAGAAAAGGGACAACAGAGGGAAAGGCACCGACACACAAGAGTGTCGAGTACCATTTCCCTATGTTACCCTGATTAGGTAGGGAGTAGAACGCGGTGGGGGGGGGGTCGGGAGACCTGCCTCAAGGGGGGGGGAAAGGGGAAGGAGCGAGGAAAAAAGCCGTTTTCGGCTGGCAAATTCGTTTTATAGCCCGACGGCTGTATGAGCAGTGAATTCAGGGTAGAGAAAGATCGAGGAAAAGTCAATGAAAGGAAGATGATTCAGTGGCTCAATTTCCGGCATGTAAACGGCGCCTCCTTGCGGAGGATCACACCCAGCACCCACGTGGGACGGCTGAGCGGCTCACACTTCGACATTGGTTTTCAGTTAACTCAATTGCCACGATGAGAAGGAAGGTGAGGGAACCGCAAGGTGAAAGGGCCGGCGCAACTGAAATTGTTTAACAAACTGTTTACTCATCTGCAGAACGCGCACCTGCCTCTTTTTTCTGCGTTGAGAAACTAATAGGTTAGTAGTGATACCAGGAGCCCTTAGTAGCGTGTAAACCACCATGGAAGCAAACCAAGGAAGATTAGGGTCACAGCGTGGTCAACAGTTTGGAACAGGTACACAGTGGGGCGTCCCCCACTGCATCAGCACCTACTGGCATCCTCTTCGTTGGACGGGAAATGCCAGTCCCCTGCTGGATCACGTGGTGGAAAAGACCCTTCGAGACAGGGCTTGACACACACTTCGATAATTTGTATTCAGTCGAACTCAGTTACCACGCTGGGAAGGAAGGTGAGGAACCGCAAGGTGAAAAGTCCGAAAAAACTTGTAGGTGTTTGAACAAAGGTTGTTTCCCTTGCTCTGCAGTTCACGAACGTGCGGCAGCTGACGGCGGCAATGGAAAGGTTTATGGGATGAAGACATGTAACCACCATGAAACAAACAAAGTGGATTGGAACAGCTTGGTCAAAGGTTGAGCGCAGGTACGTCGAAAGAGCGTCCTCTTTCGATATCCTAGTCTGATCCTGGAGCTTCGTTGGCTCACGCCAGGAAACAGACCCGTGAGCCCCCTGCCTGGGTAAAGTGGAAATAGTGGTGGTGAAGGACCCTTTGTCCAGGGTTGGACACACACAGATCGCCGCATTCGGCGCTTTTTTCAAAAACCGGTGGCAGGCGTGGGAGTTATGCCCCTTTTGGACATATAGGTTCACGAGTTCAGCCGCAGCAGCTTCAGCGCTGGAGGGTGGAAATGTGTATTTTCGAATGGTGTGGAGTCGTGATTGGAGGCCTGATAGAGCCAAGCGCTGGCTCCCGGCGGTTGTGGAATCCCGGATTTTCCAGGGTTGTGAAGGTTGCATGTAGGTGATAGTTCGTTGTGGGAGGTCGATGTTGAAACCGAGGAGATGAAAGTCCTCCACCGGTTCGAGTTCCACAGGGTCGCCAAAGAAATTGTGGTGGATGAGGGTTTGGATAGCCGGGTGTTGAAGGAAATGTTCGTTGTGGACAATGAAACGGTTGTCGACATAGCGGTAGTAAGTAAAGTGGAGGTCTGTGTGTTGAAGTAGGTTGTTGTGTATCTGATGCCAGGAGTGCTCAATGAGGGTGATGGCGACATTGCATAGGGCTGGAGAGAGCTGGGATCCAATCCCGGCCCCTCGGATTTGTTTGTAAGTGTTGTTGCAAGCCCGGAAAATGCATGTGTCGAGGGCAAAAGCCACAATGGTGGTGATGTCGGAAGTCTGGATGGTGCGTTGGGTAGGGTGTTTGCGATGGTGTCTGCCAATGTGGGAGTGGTGGAAGGGATTGCCGGTGGCCTGGACATCCACCGTTAAGGTGTGTGTGGATTGCTGTTGTTGCCAGTGGAGAACAAGGGAGTGGACCGCATCGATGAGTCGGTGCTGGGGAACGGAGTTGAAAAAGCCGACCAGGTCATCGTTGGTGGCGTGTAGTGAGATGTCGGGTGGGGTTTGGGTGAGGTAACTGTGAAAGTGGTGCCAAAGCTGAGGAATGGACATTTGGCCTGGATGCTGAGGATAGAGGTGTTGGAGGATAATGTCGAGGGCGCGGCTAGTGATGCGTAGCAAGTTGCCGCTGAGTGACTGGAAGTAGGATATAATGGTACGGCCTTTTTGCCAGTGCTTCTTCTCTTTAAGGTGGACAACACCGTAGGGGATGGTGAAGTCTTTTCGGAAGCCCCACTTGTAGCGGTTGCGCAGGATGGGGGGGACGGTGGCGGCCAGGTGGTCATGTATGTTGGCGGCAGTGATGTAGGGAAGTGGTTCAAATAGTTCGGGGGATTGCCAGGTGTTCAAGGCACCAGTGAAGTATTGGCGAGGGCAAAACAGTCGCAGTTGTTGGAGCTCATGATCGGGATGGTGGAGTAATGTGTGTTTACCCAAATGTTCTTGGAGTTGACGAAGTAGGCGGGCGGTAAAGCGGGGTTGCTGCTTGAGATGTGTGTTGTGAAGGCGCCATTGGTGCTCAAGGAAAGGCTGTAGGTGTTGAGCTAGGGATGGTGGAAGCCCTTGTAGTTTGAGCCATTTGGTGTAGGCCGTCTTGAAAAGGAGGAAGTAGCGAGCTTTGCTTGGATAATAGGTACTGTTCATACTGGCGTTGAGGAAAATGCTGAGGTGTGTAGGGAGTTGGAGTTGGTCAAGTGTAAGGATGTAGTGGTCGTTGATGGTAGGGGTATCTGGATCCTGCAGGAGGGTGCGAAGGTGATCGCATGCACAGGGGAGGTCTGCTGGATCTGGTGGGGTGTGGAGGGTGTCCTCCCATGTGCGATGGTTGTGCAGGTGGGAGCGGAGGGTTTTGTGGGCGGCTTCCCTCAGTCTGTGGGAGGGGGGGTGGAGGGGAATGGTGAAATGCTTGCGCTGCTGGATGGTAGTACGAAGCCATTGTTGGCAGTGCTTGGTGAAGTCGTCATGGGCCAAGAAAGGCACTGTCAATGGGATGTTGGGTTTAGGTGGCGGGAGGTTGCGGTAGATCAAGGCTTTGTTGAGGATGTGAAGAGCTCGGCTGCGGCCAGGTTCTTCCAAGTTTGCGGCCATGCGCCGGATTGCATACACCTCGAGGTCTGTGTGGCGGCCGCTTCTTAGCTGTTTTGCTGCCTCAAAAGAGGCTGCGGTGTGTTTGGTGAGGTTACGAAGGAGTTGGAGGGCGTGATGCTTAGTGGAAGTGTAGAGGTGTGGTTCTCTGAGGGTGTACTGGCGTTGTCGAAGGCGTCGGAAAAGTCGTTTGTGGGTGGCTAGTCTGGAGTAGAAGTGGGCTCTGTGTTTCGCGAACTGCCATCCCTGAGCTTTGAGTTTGAGGTGGTGGGAAATGAAAGGCCAGTTGAGTGAGGGCATCCAGTTGGCGATGTAGTGGTGCTCTTGGATCCAGGCTTGGTCGTATGTGTCGTGGGAGGTAAGTTGAATAGTGGTGTAGTGGTGGATGTTGTTGTGTGAATGCCAATAACGTAAGGAGAGTTCTGCAGAAATGGGGATGTTATTTTGGAGTTGTTTTAGTTTGGCGCGGCGATTGTGTTCGCGGTGGGGGATGCCGATAGCTGTGGAGCCAACGTAGAAGTGGCCATGTTGATGGTAGTAGCGTTGAGGCTGGTCGGGATTGAAGTGGAGCTTGATGTAGACGGAATTGGAAGAGAGGAAGTTGTGGTAGTGGTAGGTGTGGGGTAAAATGTGGAGCTGGCGGAGACGGTTGCGCCATTGTTGTGAGCGACGGGTGTTGGACGGGTATGCGAAACGGAGGGTGATGTGGATGAGGCCGGTTGCAAAGATGGCCTCGGCGCGGTCGATGTAT